TCCGGCTTTTTTTTTTTTTTTTTTACAGGCAGGCTGACACTGTAGTTGGGAGCGCACAAGATTAATTCTTGGGTGCAGTTGTGCTCCCTTCATCCTGCCATGGTGAATGACAGTGCTAGTCTCCAAAGCGCCCCTGCTGCCAGAGACTAGCGCTGTGACTCACACTATCCATCTCCCAGTTGGACAGTTACGGGGAAGGGGGGATAGGATGCAAGCTACAAGGGCGCGTCTTACAATACTGCTCAGCAACAACCGCACAGAATGGAAAGGGTCCCAGTGCTGCACTCACTAGGTCCCTAGGGGGGAAGGGGGTTCAAAAATGATTGTGCATTTGGAGTGATGCTTTGTCTTTAGCATTAAAACTAACATTATAGCTATAAGAAGGTTCTAAAGTACTTTGAAGTTGACCTTCAGAGACAAAGCCTTTGTCTAGGCAGAAATAGAAGGAATGACTTTCCTTATTTCTCACTCCTACAGCAGTCAGTGCTGTCCTCTGCTCTCCAACACTCCTGGAATGTGGGTGGGCCCTTGGGGTCCTCGTGTACAATGTAGGACCACTGTTCCAGCATTGTATGCGATGATGTCAGAAAGCTGCAACTGGCCAGGCAGCAGAGAGAAGTGACTTTTGGAGACTGGTTGCGCAGAATATTTAAAGCCTGCAGAAGCAAGGAATTTGTTAAGTATTTCACCTTATGTCTATCCCTTTAGTCAAAATGAACTGTTGACCCTTGCAGTGTCAGGGGTGAAAGTAATTGCAGGACCATTTAGAACCTTTTCTTGGCCTATATGATTAATTCTAATGTTAAAGTATCACTCCAAATGAAAAGTCATTTTGACCGCCCCCACCTTCACCAGAGACCTAGTACATGGAGCACTTGGTGACATTCTACTTCTTGTGGTTGTTTTTTGTTATTACATATATACAATCTGTTTTTTTAAAACAAAACATTTTATACATGATAAAGGATTCCCAGCTCAATGTGGGTTAACTAAGGAGACAGCATAGCAGACACTTGGCGCAATCTGTGTTTGTGCAGATGATGTATGTAGGGGCTGGAGAAAGTAACCAGTGTTCAGCAAGGGACATGGCCATATGAGATCCCCCAACTGTTGCATGCTGAGACGCTTTCCAAGATTGCAGTGCTGTAACAGAGGAGAGGTAGGAGAAACGGGTGTGCAATGTCCTCTATCACATGGCAGTAAAGCTTTTAAATCTTTAGAGACCTAACCGGGGTCTTTAATTACCCTCTTATTTAAAAATATATTATTTAAACCTCATGGTCCACCCACATTACAGGAAAAACTGTGTGCATTTCCGAGAGAAGTAACACAATAGCATGCAATTGGAAATGTGTCCAAGCTGCACATCACTATGAGGCCCCATTCTCACCTGAGTGTTTTGTACCTCGAATACCTAAGCAATACTTAGAATCACATTGTTTTCAATGGCCCCTGTTCGCATTTGAACATTTTGTTGCTTGTTGCTCAACAAAGTACACAAGTTTATTCTGGAGCAGAGTCGAGCATTTTGGCCCCAATAGTGCAAAACAGGAATAAAATAAAAGGCTGAAGTCTGAAACACTTGCAAAAATTCCTGTACAACCACCAGAAGATGCTGAGCATAAAAGTGTGTGAATGGTGCATAAAGGTCTTCTAGTTTAAAAAGATTCTGAGATATCACCAATATACACTGCCTGTCCAAAAATAAGTTACCACTGGATTTCGGCCAGGGTTATGATCTGGGATTGCTTCAGTTGGTCAGGTCTAGGTTCAGCAACATTATGTCTCCAAAAAATGAGGTCAGCTCCCTATCGGAATATACTTATTGATCAGGTTTTTCAATCAATGGATTTTTTTCTTTCCTGATGGCACATATTCCAAGATGACAATGCCAGGATTCATCGGGCTCAAACTGTAAAAAAAGTGGTTCAGGGAGCATGAGACATCATTGTCACACATGGATTGGCTACTGCAGAGTCCAGACCTTAACCCCATTGAGAATCTTTGGGATGTGCTGGAGAAGACTTTACACAGTGGTCCAGCTCTCCCATCATCACTACAAGATCTTGGAGAAAAATTAATAGGGATTCACCGATACCGATTCTTTGGGCGACTACTCATACTTGCCCCAATGCTCCGATTCTTGGCTCTGATATTGGAACTTCCGCTTAGAGGGAGATCTCCCTCTGACCGGCAGTGCCAAAGGAGCATGGATCCGGCTTCCTTTCCAATCAGGAAGCCAGCTTCACTTGTAGCTACGCAGCCTGGCTTCCTAACCAATCAGGAAGCCGGGCAGCATGTAATGACCCGCCTCCCAGCTTCCTTATTGGTCAGGAAGCCAGGCTGCCTAGAAACAAGTGAAGCCGGCTTTCTAGCCAATCAGAAAGCCGGAAGCCGGGTCATGATGTGCCGCCCGGCTTCCTGATTGGCTAGGAAGCCAGCTTCACTTGTTAATAGGCAGCCTGGCTTTCTAACAAACCAAGAAGGCAGATGGCATGTCAGGACTCGCATCTCGGCTTCCTGATTGGTCAGGAAGCCACGCTGCCTAGCAGCAAGTGAAGCCGGCTTCCTACCCAATCAGGAGGCCGGTCAGGAGGCCGGTCAACCCAGGCAGCCTCGGCAAGTGAAGCCGGTGTTGCTTCACTAGAGCACCAGGTTTACAGGCAATCGGGAAGCTGGGTGGTGGGTCGTGATCCGCCTCCCACATTACTGATAATCGGGGGATAAGGCACCGGTACTTGGTATCGGCAAGTACAGAAAAAAAAATATTGGTACTGTGACGGACCGCCTGGTACCCCGACTGGGTACCTCCGCCAGAAATCAGCTTCCTCTCTGCTGGAACCTGAATTCCAGTGTCCTCAGCCCAAATCTGCCTAATTATTGGACGGAACCAATATATAAGGACAAAAAACTAAACTCCTCAAACGTCAGACAACACCAATGTTGAAGAGGAAACCAAGAATTGACATTATTGAAAACCAGCTCAGTATATATACAGTTCTGGAAGTCTAAAAACATAACGCAATCACAACATCAAGCAAACAATCCCCTCCCTGATGCCGTTATGAAAGAATAGGGAGAGGGAAAACAAAGAGATTGGGATTATCTCCTGAGTGTCTAGTAGAGGTTAATCTAATCATCTCCACCTAGAGTCAACTATGGTAATCCCATCATTAACACAATGAGACAAATGGACAAACAGAGTTGTAACAAATTTAATTGGAAGTCTCAGTCCAGAGTTAACCCCTTTTTGTGTTGCTGGATTCACACCCTGTACTTTTAATGGGCAATGGGAAAGATGGGGCATATAAACTCCACACATAAATCGGTTACTAGTTCCAAGGGGTACACGTACAATCCTCGTGGTTCCAGGAACAGTCCCTTAAGTCTTAGTTCTATGTAACCCCAAGAAGTCTGAGGGGGGGTCTTCATATTTCTAGGTCCATAGTCAGTAGGAAGGAGGCTCCCCCAGCATCCCCAGTGACGGTTCAGTCCGTCACAGGTACTCGATACCAAAAAACTGATCGATACCGATCCCTAAAAATCTATGTAACTCTGGACGGAAATACACTTTGAGACATTGCATAAGAGTATCAAAATGATGCCCCAGAGGATGCGTGCCGTAATCAAAACTAGGGATGCACCGATACCGGTATTTTGGTACCGAGGACGAGTACCGATAATTTTTTTGGTACTCGCCGATATCAATTACCAAGTAAAGGAAGTTCCATTCAGGAAGCCAGGTGGCATGTAAAGACTCGCCACCCGGCTTCCCGATTAACAAGAAAGTCTGTCCCCTCTTACCTTGGTATGTCCAGCCTTTCACCCCCGGGGCCTCTCCAGCCAGAATGTGGACTTCCTCCGGTACCCAGCCGGAGCCGTCTGGCCGGGCAATCAGGAAGCCGGGCGCCGTGACGAGAGAGCATGGAGCCGCTTCCCGGCCAATAAGGAAGCCAGGCAGCGTGTAATGACGCACTGCCTGGCTTCCCTATACAGGAAGCATCGGGCTATGCATTGGAGCATTTGGGCGAGCACGTGTACTCGGCCAAATACTCGGTATCGGCACAGATATGGATACTAGTATCGGTATCGGTGCATACCTAATCAAACCTTAAGGCAGTCCAATGAAATATCAAAGTGTGCGACTTTTCTTTTTGGCCAGGCAGTGAGGACTTCGAAAGGCCGGGAG